TTTCCCTTAACTGTGCCTACAAATACCTTTGAAAACTAAATCTGTCTGCAGCCAGCTGCTCTCTTGGTTTCATCTTATATTCTCCATGTTCCTGTTCTAACAACTCTCGATAAGTTAACCATTTTTCTTTACCTGCTGTTTGGAATCTCTTTGACTGTTTTGAGTCTCTTCCTGGGTGTCCTGCAACCTGGATGGAACTGCCATTTATGAGATAAGCTACTAAAAGACCCCTCTCCAATCTGTGGATTGTTTGTGTCCAAAGATCCTCCTGTTCCTTCTCAGCCTCCTCACAATCTCAAAATGCCTTGGGTCCTCATTATTTTCAGATTCATCTGATCTAGGTAGAATTGGCCCTTCCAACATGCGTTGGCTAAAGGACATACTGTCGATTTCCCTTGAGATGTTAAGTGGGTGGTGGCTGCAGGAAAAAATGCAGCGAAACCAACAGCTGAAGAGTGCTTTGAAATGTTGCTGATCTGTGATCACAGAACGTTCTCTTAGAGAAGACAACATTTACAGGCAAACAAGCACTTTTAATCAAACTGATTACAAACATCATCTTCCTGCTTCCCTATTAGGAGAAAGCAGAGGTTGAGCTAGGGTAAGACTAGACTTGTCCCTGATCATACAGAGTTATTTGTAACTTATTTCTTTTTCTGGGAATTGTACAAGACAGAAGTTTGGACGAAGAGCTTGTTTCTAACATTTATATAGCCTGTGCTCCTTATCACATACTCCCTGTCATCTCCTCCTCCTCCTCCTCATCCATCCATCCATCTATCTAATTTTTCTACAGCCTTTAATTCGTACAACTTAAGGCAGTGTATAATTATGCTCTCACTCGGTGAAGTAGGTTGGGCTGAGAGAAAGTGACTGGTCCAAAATCACCCATCCAGATAAGTCGCCAACTTATCTGCTATTGTAATAGCGTCTAGCTTCTTGTGTTGTGTACCCTAAATATGGCCTTGGTTATGTTTGCTGATCTCAGGGTCCTGCAGGATTCAGAGACAGGTGTCAGATCTGCGATGTTCAAATCCCAATGAAGAAAAATCTTGTGCAACCCAAGTTAGGTTCAAAAACAGGTCTCCTAGGTGGTAGCCCCTTTGCTTTGGAACAGGTTGCCCCCCCAAGATTTCCCATTAATACTCTGGAAGTCAGTTCAAGCTCTTCTCCACAGTCTTTGGAGCAGAGAATGCCAAGCCATCTGTTTAGGGTGGTGAGTTAGATAGTTATCCAAATGTCATGTGGTTGACAATCATATATAAGATGCAGTTTTATGTAAGGTTTACTGAGCTCCATTCCTATAATTTTTGTCCTTCAGTCTAGCCTATCTACAGGGCACCAAGTTGGGGAAAATTGCTGGAGAGCAGTTGAGGAATGATAAACATGCTGCAATTCATTTATTACTTATTTATTTATAAAAAGGAGAACACTTAATTGGGGTTATGGTCTTGTCTGTAACAGGAAATGTTCTTACTGCTTTCTCTTTTACCTGATTCTTTCTTTTCCTTAGGTTATAGAAGATCTTTTCAAGACTGTGACAGACAGAGTGCTATCAAAATGCCCTCAAGATGCTGCACTTTTTCATAAACGTGTAGCTCCTGGCCAAGAGGTTATTTTTTTTTCTAATGTATATATAATTTTCTGCTACCTTTTCCATAGCTGAACAACAGCCAAGCCTAAATCAGTTTCTTTCAGACTCCAGCATACTCTCCCCTAACGTTGGATCATCCACGGCTCTTTTGACTTCATCTTCTGTACTTTTTAGCCAATGAAAGTCATTTATTAGCTGGCTAAGAATTACGAGAGTTGAAGTTTGATGCCTCCGGAGAGCACAAAGTTGGGGAAGTGAACAGGAGACCAAGCAGCAGAACCCAGGCTGAGCCAGGCTAGTGAAGGGGTGGGGCTGGGCAAATAATACCCGTTGTTGGCATCATTTGGACCAGAAGCCAGAAGTTGACCTCCATATGGTTCCTCGGTGCCTCTTTTTAATGAATCCCGCATCAGGCACAAAGAATGGGAAGCAACTGAATGACAACAAAGTGAAGTTCCCATCCTGCAACCTAAGATCAGAGATCTGGCAGGGAGGGGCACTGGGCCACTCCATGAAATATTTTGCACAGCACATAACTGTTGTATCCCATTTGCTATCAAATGTGTGGAGATTAATGGCGGTATGGATGACTTTGAAACATGGAGAATAATCAGGGTACTAATGGCCATTCATTCTAAGGATACGAGTTGTCACTAATTGCCATGTCCTGTCGGCCAACATGGGACATGGTTACTTTGTTTACCTCCTGTGGATGGATTTATTCCTGGGGGCATCTGACTGGCACCATGAATGCTGAATTAGTATAAATCAGTATGGTTTCTGCAAAAGGGCAAGAACATTTTTCCCTGTTTGAAAAAAGTATAGGCTGGGTCCAGCGTGCTATATTAGTTCATGCTTGAAATGGTTCAGCTGGGCTTATCCTGATGCAAAATTTGTTTTCCTTTGACTTCTTGGACTTCTCTACCCAGAAACTGAATTCGTTTGTGTTCAGTTTGATCCCTTTGTGCAAAGTTCATTGTTTTCTCAGCTATTTCCACAAAACATTTTTGTTTCAAAAACTTAACGATTTCTGATAGTAATTGTGAATTAATTTTTCCTTTCCCTTCTTTCCCCCATCCTTATTAGGCCAAATTAGAAAAGATGCTGAAGAACCAATTTGTAATGTAAGTATTTTGAAAAAGGTTGGTTGCTTTTTAATTTATAGCCATAATTTATAGGTTTGACTTATGTTTCTTAGCATTTAACAGTTTTGACTCATCCTGACAATAGTTAATTGGAATTGGACCTGATTAGGATTTGGATGGGAGACCACCAGGAAAACCTTAGGCTGCAGACTATACTACAAAGTTAAAAAACATCCCAGAAGATTGGAGCAGGAGCCACTTATTTGGAAAATTATAAAGATATGTTCATGTAGTCACCAGGCATCAAGTTCAATTGAAAGGATTTGTTTACAACAAAGTGGCAGTGAAAATTAGCATTTAAGTGAAGTTTCTTACATGCTATGACATTTATGGTTGTGGAGTCCTTGGTGTTCTCTGAGCTTGGTGGTTTGCTTGCAGACGTTTCATTACCCAACTAGGTAACATCATCAGTATGAGTGAGTGTGGGGTTTGCTCCCTGTTTATATACAATAGCTTGTCCTGCTAGTGTTGGTGGTGGGTGGTCTCCTTGGTAGTTCCTTGATTATGGCATTGTTTTCTGCTTGATTGTTTGTCTGGTG